TTCACAGAGGACGACTGCCCCGCATCTTTTTCAACCATCGGTTCTGGCCCTTTCTGACGCTTCGGGGTATCGGACGCCAAAGCTGTGTCCTCTCGATCCTGGGGCCTCTTGCGAGAGTGAGAGGCCGTCGTTTGACTCGGCTTGGAAGCCGAAGGAAGCACAACTTTAGACTTCTTGGCGGCAGCCATCTCAACTACCGCAGTAGGAACATCAGATCCTGAACCCCCTTCAAGCCTCTCGGGAAGAACAGGCTGAGCGGGGGATTTAGAAGCCGCCTCGGCTTTCTTCTTCTTAAAATGCTGGAGTGCACCCACTGTCGAAATAAAACAACAAAAGCAATAATTAAATATTTATATAATCACGTCGCAGGGAGATAAAGAGGTATATAGATAAATGCGTAAGGTCGAGAGAGACTGAAGCAATAGGCGGCTTATGAGGATCTTCAAGTCGAGGAGCGTTCTTATCAATACAGATCCCGAAATGATTGAGAAGGGAGCTATCTTTGGTTAATTGGCGAGCACTCCAAGTGTGCTTATTCAACTCCTCTAACATGTTCGCAAATTGTGGAGAACAGGGGCGCTTGCGTTGCGGCACCTTATCGGTGTACCACTCGTTGGTAAAGGGATATTGACCAGGAGCGGGACGAACGAAGAAATACTTTTTCTTCCATTCAATGATATTAAAAGATAAGTCGTCGAGAAAGGTAACGCCCACACGACGGCCCAAACAGTGGGCACCCTTGCTAAACCTATATCCATAATAGTAAAGAAAAAATTCGGGTACAAAACCACCTAGCACTATACGGGTGACGACTATAAAGGCCACCATTATTCGTATGGAGTTGGGAGTAAATTGGTTTATTGGTATGTCGAAAAGATTACTCAGCGATAACAGCTCAGGCTGGATCGGGAAGCGTAGTCCCGACATTATTTGATCTACGAAGAAGGTAAAGCAACCACGGGGAGGATGATGGAAGTCGTTATCCATTGTAGGAGCGACCAATCCCCAATCAGAGGGAAGTCCGCTGTACTCTCTGAAGCCATCGATTTCGGCTGCAGGAGCATAAGAAAATGGGATTAAGAACAGCTAACTTCGCTATGGAACATGCTGCAATCGCAAGCTTAACTGAAGGAACCATGATTGATGAATGCGCAGGGGTTGATCTATGCAGGGGTATCTAAGGGCCTTAGGGAAATACCTCGAGGAATTAAACCAAGTCGAGAAGACTCGGGGGAACGAGGGGCTTCAGGGTCCTCAAAGAGAGTGCCCGATAGTAGCGCCTGATTGTACACATTCCGGTCGATGCCGAAGGGCGAGGAACTAGTATTAATAGACCCCTCTGGCTCGACATTTTGATAAGCACTCGTTCTAGTACGAGCCATTTGAACGGAATTGGACCCCGAATAATTGTCGATTTCATGAGCAAGGGAACCAGACACGGGGTCGGAGGTAGAAGCAGAGTTGGAATCTAGAAAAGAGAAGACGACGGTCAATAGAGAAATCTAATGGCAACCGCAATTCGACTCCAAGGGAAATAAAACCATAAGAGAGGCGAGCAAATCGACCCGACAAAGGTATAACGGAATAGAAAACCCTTGGCAATGCATGAACCATCCTTAACTTATTCAACTCGAGGGGGGAATATCGAATCAGCAATAGTCGAGAAGAAGCAGAAAAATCGATTTCGAATCGATTACTGAGCAAAAACACTCGGAGAAATAGAAAGTCTGCAACTAAAGATCTAAAGAGAAATCACTAGAAATTTACCCAGAAAATCCCAGAATCTGGTAAGCATGTAGAATCTGAACATATCGTCCAGAAAAACAAAAAATAAATAAATAATACATAGTAAGAAATCAAAGGGCAAAAGGACACTTACACATGGTGATTGTCGGAGAAGTCCTAGAGAAGCCTGAGAAGAACGCCGGAAAACGAGACGGGCGCCGGTAAGCTTGAAAAGTTTTATTTACCGGAGAAACAGAAAGTTTGGGAACTCTGAGTGCGAAAAAGTACAGACGATGAAAGGAGGAGGATATTTGTAGAGGGATAGAGAAACCCTAGCCTTTAGATTATAGATAGGACCAACGGTCCAGATGGCGCACAGAATACGAAGCGGTGGAGAGAGAAAACGTCTCATCAGCTTTCAAAATCCCTTTTTAAAATTTAAAATTTGAAAAAGATTCGGACTTATCCCCGCGATTCGGAATTTGTCGGGTAGACAAGTCACTAGCGAATCGAGACAACAAGCGGATACGATTCAGGGTAATAACGAGTAAGCAGGACCGGTAAAAAGATTCGAGCGAGGTATTCAGTCAACAAAATCTACTCGAAAGCTCAGAGTCGCTTCGAGTGATTTTCGGGGGAACTAGATGATATAGCCATACTGTCGTATAACGGCTTATGCTGTCTCGGTTCGATTATCATCGAGTCGACTTACCACAAGTCGACTCCTCCCACATATCTCCTCATGATGATACATCCGGTCGAAGGTCCGGATGCTTTTCTTAAGTCGACTTCTACCATGTCGACTAGTCTAAGTCGATTCCGTCTGGAAGGATGAATAAGCGTATTAGGGTCTACTAGCGAGGGGGGAACGATCCAGCCGGTTCGGAAGCAAGGATATCCCAAGTCGACCGAAGTAGTCTCAGGACTCACGGGTCCCCGACGACTTCTATACACTTCAGCATACCAGAGGAAAGCCACTAAGGGATAAGGAAGAATCTAGATGCTAACTAGGAGGAGGATAGAATACGAACTGACCAGGGTATTTTGGACATTTCCAGTAAGTCGGCCAGGGCATTTTGGGGACTTCAGGTAAATGTTTTACTTCTATATAAAGGAGCTGAGGTTACTCCAAAACCCTAACTCCCATTCATTCTACATTCTTCTCCATTACTGTTGCTGCTCTCTCAGAGCAGCTCTCTTCATCTCTTTCACATACTGACTTGAGCGTTGGAGGCTCTACGCCGGAAACCCCTCCGGCGTTGAGTTCTTGCAGGTGTTCTTGCGGTTCAGCAACGGTTTGGAGGCTATCGAGTCAGATCTGAGCTCATTCCCATCGGTTCATTCCAGATCTGGGCGGTTTTTCATCGGTTCACTCCAGATCTGAGAGGAGACCCATCACTGCCCCAAGACAGACTATGTCTAAGGAGAAAGCTCTTTGGGCATTTCTTTCACAGGCGTCATTACAGGCATACACAAAAGTGTCTCATTGGAATTGGTAAGGAATAATAGTATTTTGTACCATCACTGCCCCAAGACAGACTATGTCTAAGGAGAAAGCTCTTTGGGCATTTCTTTCACAGGCGTCATTACAGGCATACACAAAAGTGGCTCATTGGAATTGGTAAGGAATAATAGTATTTTGTATGTGAAATTTATATGAATTTAAATCTGAATTTACACATGTTTGATTTATTAATATTAATTATATGAAATTTTACTGTATAATATAGAATATTAATTATAATAACATATATAAATATATCAAATACCTAAATAATAACTCAATATCTTTATGTATTTACCATATTTATATGTTAATGAGTTTATGAGTAATTTCTAAAGTGAATTTCGAATGAATCGAATATATTCAGTCATCTCCAAATCACAAATTAAATTCTATAATATCTGAATATATATATATATATATATATATATATATATATACACGAATAAATGATGCTTGTAACTCATTATACTACTAGTACAACTCCCGTGTATTACACGGGTGCTTGTTAATTTTTTTTTTCTTAAAATCTAAAATTAAAGAGAAAAAATAGTTAAGAAATTAAATACCTTTTATAAAAATATATATTATTATATATATAGTATGACACTTTTTATTTGTGCGACTTACCTGTGTTATATTATAATAATTTTTTTAACTTACAACATATAACTACATTAAACAAAATATATCAATTGAGAAATAATTTTATTTTTCTAATGAATTTTAATAAATATAATTATTTTTTATTATTATAAATATATATATAATTTATTTATATCAATATATACAATATGGATGTCAAATCGAAGATCATCAAAAGATGATTAATTTGATATATTATATATGTAAAACCGATAAGAAATATAAAAGTTATCAACTTTTAAAATACATTTACAATTCAATAGCTAATTGAAGGAAACAAATCAAAAGTCAGGGATATATTAGTCACTTAGTGTCTCACTATGTAAAATTACAAGGAATGAAAGGGTTATATTAGTACAAGTGATATTAAAATATCTAAGTTAGCTAAATAATATTTATGGAATGTCCAAACCTAGATTATTAATTATTAATATATCAATATTATTTGTCCAAACCTAATTACGAAGCATGATTCTTCGCCAAGTAAGATTGTCCAAACCTAATTACGAAGCATGATTCTTCGCCAAGTAAGATTCCGAAACACCAGAAGCAGCCACGTAGGCTCAGCGCATTCGGGAAATATATAGGGAGGATTATCATGTTGCAGTTGTATATTTTAATTACTATTATATGATAATTATATTATGTTTTATTTATTTTAATTAGCAATGGCCCTTAGGACTGAGTCTAATTGTGTCATGTCATAACTCGAAATCGGCTACTGAACAATTTTCACACTAATCATAACTGTGAATCTGTGAACATCAAACCATGGTGCTCTAATCCCAAATTATGCATAAAATACTTTGCATATCCACATATAGTTTCCATACAATCTGGCAACACTCGTATGTAGCTGCATGTGTACTATAGGCAACAACATAAAAAGATGAAGATGATGTAATGAACAAGAACAAGTTAATATATTGAAAAAACGGAAGTTTTCTAGTCTCGGTTATTTCGACCTTGGGGCATCACTCCTAATTAAAAGAACCAATCAAGAGAGGGAAAGAAAAACGAAATCATGATAGGTCGCGCGGTTTTAGCATGTTCATGTTGCTGGATATTTGCTGGAAATCATGATCGGTCGGTTTTATCAAAAGATTTTCAGGTGCGACCATACATATTATACGATCCCATGAAAGCCAGCAGACTCCAAGAGCACTGCTTTTATTTGATCAGGGTTCAGATCTTGGCCTTCTCCCCATTGCTGATAAGAAAAAAATAATAGTGAAAAAAACAGAAAAATGGAGCATAAATAAAGTCATGAAAAAGACACTCAGTAATATGCACCATTATAGTTTATAGGAGCTAATGACTGGCTAAAAGGACTCAGGAGTCGGGTGCCAAGGTTAACACCAACGTCTAACCAAATAATTGATAAAAAAATATGTAACAAAAGGACTGATTTATTATTATGCTTATGGATTACGTCTGCAGATATTATAAAAGAAAAGAAGTATGGGTATTATTTGCATATACCTCAGCACGAAAAACATCCAAGGCGAAACCATTGAAACAGCTAATAACAGCTTGCTGAACGTCTAGACCCAGACTGTCCATAGCCCTCAGAGTAGACAGCAAAAGGCCCGGTTTTCGGCCACAGAACATGTGAATGTTCACAGCTCGCCCTTCTCGAAGCCTCACCTCCACCTGTCAGTCACAGACATTAATATTACACTCCACGTAATCCAATCCTCACACAAAATACAAAGGCCATGCCTTTTATGTCCTAACAAAAGGGATGACAACAAAACTTAAACACTGATCGAATTTTATGGTATTTACTAGCTAGTGTGAAAAATAATAAAAAAAAATCGACCTTGAGGTTAGATTCTAGTTACATCTTGCCCCAAGCGTCGGTTATTTTTTCAATATTACAACAACTTTGAGTTTCATGTGAATATTTGTTGTAATGTAAAGAAACATTCTTAAAATGTAAAATGAGAGAAGATTTTTTTTTTTTTTTTGGGTTATTTAAGAAGTTGAGGTGCTAAAGAGATGTACAATAACAATAGGACATAAGAAAAGAAAAGTAGTATTTTGTTTTTCCTTTCTCTTTTTTAATTTTCATGATACCAAAGTTGTTACTTACCCTTGCTGGTTGTTCAGTTGGGCTTGACAATGGGGTTGCGAATGCACTAGGACAAAGCTCTTCCTTGATAAGGCTCGGTAGTCGAGGGGTGCCAGCTGGCGTGACGGGGTAGAAATTCGAATTTGGGGTAGCTGAAGACGTAGCAGCTGGGACAGACTCGAGTTCGTTGTTGAGGTCATTGATCTTCTGTAAAAGCTCCTTTAAGTAGTCAATTGCATCACCGAGTATGGAAGCTCTGTCCATCTGTAGATGGAGTAAACAAAATGTATAACTCTTACAATAATGTATATCACCATTAGAAACAAGAAAAAAAAAAAAATGATTCTTTCCTCTTTCTATAAAGTGTTCATTAGGTGTCAGTTTGGAAACTATGAATCCAAATTTTGATGCAATTTCTTATTCTGCATATCGATGCTTGCCACGTGCCTAATTCAGACAGGTGTAGTGATAAAAGAAAGGATACTGCAAAAATAGAAAGGTAAATGCGAAATAACACATAAGCTAATACAGTGGATTTTCACTTAGAAATATCTCGTCCTCTTACTTTGCACCTGAATGATAAAATTATGACTGTACATTTCCAACAATTCGATCATGGATTCAAGTAAAAATCACATTATTTCAAGCATTCTGCTAAATGTGTGCTATTTTTTTCTTCCTTTTCTCGGGAAAACAGTTTTTGTTCCTTTGTTAACCAACAAACATGGAATTCAGATGACGTTCTTTCACCAACAAATAATTCGTCATTTATCTTACGCCATTTTCCCTCCAGACGACCAATAAGAGCAAATATGCTACGGCCATTAAATATATCCTTTGTATCTCTTGTCCTAAATGCATTATGTTGGAAATTTACTGTCTTAAATTTTTTTTATTCAGGTGAAAAGCAAGTGCAAGACACTGAAGGAAACAAAAGAATATATAGGAAAACAGAATTAATAACGATAATAAATATTGTACATATTAGAGATGGGTCCTCACACTGGTTAGGGATACAAAAGTCACATAACATTATATGAGAACGACTCGAAAAATATTACCGTTATATATGCATGAAAAAAATTAATCTCATTCAGCATGTCTGTCAGCAATGAAATAAATTCTCAAGTCTTTACTTCTCAATTTGTGACTCTCAAACAAAACAATACCTCACAATCATGTCTGTGGTCCAAAAATGCAAGATGCATTTTTCATATCAGTTCATATATTCCATGTGAGTGAATTAAATGCTTTTATCAGTCAACTTTAATGTGCAAGGCTCTCTATCAATATCTATCCCAATCAAAAAAGTTACCACTGCTCACTCTGTAAACAATATACACCACCAGCGAAGCTACTCAATCAAGAGCAAAACAGATCTTTAACACGAGATGAAGCCCGAAAAAAACAAATCAGAAAAAGCTCCAAGTGAACGTGAACTGCTAACGAAAACTATCACCATGACTAAAAATGCGTCGAATATCAACATACCGTAAAATAATTCACGAAAATTTATCTAGAATATAACATTACCTTGCTTATTTTCGGAACAACCGACCTCAACATGTAGAGCCGGTCGTTAAGCTTTTTCCTCCTCCGCCTTTCCGCCATCAAATTCTTTGCTGGCTGCCCTTTCTTTTTCCCCTTTTGATCCCCGGGAGAGACCACGTTCGAGCTATTTCCACCATTTTTTCCTTTAACAGCAGCACTAATCTCCAAGAATTGATCATCAGAATCGTAATTCAGGTTAGAACCGTCGATACTAAAATCGTCCAGATCATCCACACTACTACTTTTCCTTTTCCTCTCATTATTCTCCTCACTGATGTCCAGATTACTAGCACTAGCTGGAGATTTTAAGCTAACCTGGCTTCTAGAACAACCCCCTAAGTTCAAAGATCCCAAATTGCCCACATTAGTGCTGCTATTCCCAAGATTTTTCCTAAGGGCAGCCCTTTTTTGAAACAAGGTTGGCTGTGAACCAAGTGATGCAAAATTATCAAGTGGCTTCAGAATCTTAGCCCTATTGAAGAACAATGAGTTAGTACTATTATTATTATTATTAGTATCATTACTATTAGTATTACTATTGTTGTTGCTGTTGAGCTGCATGGACCCATCCCCAAACCCAAAACCACCAAACCCACAATTCCCTTGAAACAAGCCAAACTGAGAATCTTGATTTGAGGTCAAATTAAGAGAGCCCATATGAGAATTAGCACCAAAATCACCAAAACCACCACCGAGAAGCCCACCGGGCCGGTTAAGCGCAGTTTCGAGATAACCATTTTGGCAGCCCAGATCAAGGGCTCCATCTAAGGGGATGTTTGTGTTTGGGATGGGATTGATTACAGATTTTGGGTGGAGAAAGTAAGTGCTATTGAGGTGATGATTTGGATTGAGGGTGTTGAAGACTGAAACAGAGGACGGGGAAGAAGAAGCAGATGAATCGAGTTGGTTATGTAAGAGAAGGTGATGATTGGGTGGCGAGAATGAGATGTCTTGGTGGGCATGCAGAAAGTGGTACCAATCGTCTCTTTCGGGCTCCGCCATGGATTCCGGTTTGTGTTCGCCATTGTTGTTGTTGTTGTTGTTGCTGTTTTGAGGAGGCCAAGAAGAAGAAGGTGTACTACTTTTTTGCTCCTCCTCTTTGCCATCTTCAATGTTCCAAACCATGCTGTTAACTCTTGGCAGCATATTTCTCAATCACCCAAAATAAATAAGTGTACTGAAAAGGAAAAGAAAAAAGAACAGAACTTTTTGTCCTAGGAAAATCAGAATTCACAGAGACAAATTCACAAACAGTTGGAGAGAGAGAGAGAGAGAGAAATAGTGAGAGAGAGAGAGAGAGAGAGGAGGGAAATGGGTTTATGAGGAAGTGGTGATAACACTGAGTTTAGCTCACAGAGTCTTGCTTCTTTTCAGGGGTGGGCAGTCTGCAGTGTCTGCTATAAGCTATAAGCAGATGATATCCCCTCCCCCATATATTAATCCAGAACGCGCTAAATCTACGTGGCTGCTTCTGATGTTTCGAAATCCTATGAAACAAAATTGTTTGCTTCGTTATTAGGCTTGGGTAAATTTTAATTTAATTCTAAACCAATAATAATTAGCTAGGTTCGGATGATTATAAATATGTTGATTATTTATGGTCATGTTATATGTATTAATTGCATTTTAATATCATTCCTTATTATAACTATTGAATTGTATATATATTTTAAAAGTTAATAAATTTTTGTATTTTTTATCAGTTTTACATATGTAATGTATCAAATTAATCTTCTTTTGATGAGCTTCGATTTAACATCCACATTGTATTTATAAAAAAAATAATTTATATTTATCTTTATAACAATAATAAAATTATTTTTAATATTAATTAGAAAAATAAATTATTTATCAACTAATATATTTATATTTCAAGTAGTTATATGATATAAGTTATAAAAACTAATATAATATAACATATGTAAGTCATAAGTAACGCATATCATTCTAAAATATATAGTAATATATTTTTTTTTATAAAAATGTAAACTAAATTTAATATAGTTTTCTCATTAATTTTAAAATTTAAAAATAATTTTTTAACAAGCACCCGTGTAATACACGGATGTTGTACTAGTGTATATATTTATATTGGGACTAAATAGAGAATTAATTTATGTGTGTGTGTGTGTGTATGTAGTGAAATATAGGGAGATGCTACGGTCTATAATTATTCGATCGGGGTTTGTAACAGTTAGATCAATTATCTCCGACAGTTACATGATTATCTAACGGTTACAAATCTTGACATAATGATGGCATTTTAACGGGACCGTAGCATTTTTCGTGAAATATATATAATGATTATTGGGAGAAAAAAGGGAGCTTTTTAACTTTTTTTTTTGTTTTTGAGGATTTTGAGGGATGTCTCACGTAGGTTGGCAAGTGAGGACAGCTGATTCTGGTTTTCTGTTTTGGTAATTTGTCTGTTAATTAGTGAGGGGATGAAAGCAAATGATTACAATCACAGCTAAGTTTAAAGGGAAAGGTAATGAGACGTGAGTTCATATCCTTTTCATGCAGAATACACCCAAAAATATATGCTGCTTTTTGTGGATTAATTAATGTGAATCTACCCATATTCTTCGTTCACTTTATATTCTGTAATGTAATAAAAGTACTCAAAATAGCTTTTTTAAAAAAAAATAAAAAAAAAATAAAAAATTAAAGTTCTATATTTTGTGACGAATTTCTTTTTTATGAATTAAATTTTGTAAAATGCCTAATTTATTTATTTTTTCACAAAAAAAAATCTTTTGTATAAGATTTATTTTTCGCTAAATTGTATTTTTTATGCCAATTTCATGTGATGAAAGATAATTTATTTCAATTTGACATGCAATAATAAATGATTTCATTTTTCATCACTGAAAATTATTTAATTTATGGTTACCATTTATTATTGTCGTATTAAATACATATTCTATAACAAATTTTTTTTGCGATAAGTGACATTTTGTCACTATTTAGTCACTATTTCATAGTTGTCTATGACTAAATTTATCATCGCCGCAAAAGAGTAACTTATAAATGACACTCTTAATCTTCGTCAAAGATGCACTCATTATATGAGAGAATATATCACAATTTAATAACTAACAATGATAAATTTTATTTTTGTCAAAAAATAAAAAAATAAAATCCTATATATGAAATTGTTAATTTTCGTAACATAACTAGTCGTGAACCGTGTGATGCACGAGATGATATATTTTTCTATTTTTTTTTTTAATACTGAATATTAAATTTAATAGACTTGGTATATATGTAATAAATGTAAACAAGTCGGACAAATAAAAAAAATATCATGAATTATTGAATACTCCTTATAAACAAAATTTTGATTTGATTTTGTGGCGAGACATCTTCACCATGAACTAATAATTTAAATAATTTTAGCATATGGATTCGATAATAATAATAAATAAGAAAATAACAAAAAAAAAATATTTACCTCATCAGCATTGAAATTTATTTCCAACTACTTGGCTTTAATTTCTCTTTCAAATATATGTATAACCCTCGATGTCAAGTATAGCTTTTATTTTGGGAAACCGAATTAAAAAATACCATACGAGCAACATATTGATATGGTGAAAAAAATAAAATTAGTCGCATTCTATAATTTAGAAATTGAAAAAAAAAATTGCTAAAAGATATGGTAAATGATTTATATATGTAATTGAGTACTTTTATAGATGTCATAATTATTTGTGTTACATGTGATACATTGTTCTAATTACAAAAATCATTCAAGATTTGTGATGTTTCCATTCGGTTCGACTTACTTTGAGATAAGATAATAATGAATCTTTTAAATGAAATATATGTTACTATTCGCTTAAATTTTTACCAACATAAGATGAAAAATATTCGAGTCATTTAAATATTTTATTAACCGAATTTCCTTAAAATTATGTAACAAAATTTCGAAGGAATTTTTTGTAGATATAATTGAAACTAATATTGCAATCAAAATATAAAATAATTTTTAAGAATGATATATTTTAGTTATATGTGTGTTCCCTAAATATTTGATAACAACATATTAGCTTTTTGATTATCCAGTGGCAAGGGAAAATGAAATTCTTTGTCATGTGGTTTATTTAGATGTGTTTCTATGAAATAATATATGTAAAATTAAATTTGATTGATGTAGATTTATATTATCATTCGTTCATATTATTATTTAATTAAATAAGTTCGCTATTTATTAGTATGTAAATCTGAATGGTGGATTTATAATTGGTCAAATAATATGAAAATCAAAATTTCAGATTACATTGCCTTAATTTGTGTCATTTTATGCATGTCAATTATAAAGGACGAAATTTCTATACAAAAATATTTCGGTGTCTGTTTGATTATAGCTATAGCAGCCCAATGTATTTGTGAAAAAAAATTATTACATTAATTTTATTTAACTGATTATAAATAATATTTTAATTATAAATTAGAAAGAGAGTAAAAGTTTCAGGGCCAAACAATTTTTGTATTGAAAATCTCACTACTAATTATTCAAACTAGTATGGTACCCGTGCGCAGCACGGCCGGCGCAGCACGACCGGATTATTTCCTCAAACCTTTTTTTTTTTAAACTTTATGTTAAATATTTTTTTATAAATTAATAATTTAATTACAATAGAAAGAGGATAGAGAAATACGAAATATAAACAAAAATCATATATTATTAAACACTTCTCTATACACAATATTATTGGTTTGATTTTCTTTCAAACCTTCTTCTCCACAAATTAAAAATTTCAGACCCTTTCTGTTAGTAACACGGGAGACAGCAACATATAACTGGTCATGACTAAACACTGGTTTCTTCAAGAATAAGCCAACATGCGATAATGATTGACACTGAATCTTGTTTATAGTCATTGCGTACGAAACCATAATGGGGAGTGCCTTCTTTTAATTTTGAATGGTACTCTAACATCATAAGGAGTTATTGTCATCCGAGGTATCAAAACTTTATCACCTACATGATCACCAGTAAGAATTTTACACTCGAGAACATGATTGGAGAGTTTAGTCACAACCAATCTGGAGAGAACATGATTGGAGAGAAAATGATTGGAGAGTTTAGTCACAACCAATTGGATCATTGGATGGCTCTAATAATAGATCATTTGGTATGTCTATAGGAGAACATCCATCATTTTTACCCCCAATGTTCCATCTCCAATGCTCGCTATCCAATCAGTAAAAGCGGCCAACTCGTCACGTTCATTCGAATCGCCAATGCTCTGAAGACGCATATTCTTTGTAAGCCTAAGCACAGTACATTCTCCCCAAATGCTAGAAGAGTTAATAGCAGCATTAACAATCTCCTAACGACTCCCCTTTGGAACTACCAGAAGGATTTGTAGAAAGTCTCCACCAAACACAACAGTCTTGCCTCCAAACGGTTTATGATGATTTGTCGGGTCGAGGGCTCCCATTACTGCCTTAAATGATGCTTGAACAACTTCAAAAACAATGCTTATGCATCATTGGGGCCTCATCCCATATGATCAATGAAGAGCGAGTAATCAACTCGGCAAGGGGGCTAGCCTGATTGATGGCTAAATTGCAAAAACTAGCCACTAACTTAGACGGGTTGGCAATTTTAGCCACATTCTTTTCATTTTGGCACTTTTAGCCAAAACGTTTTAAAAATTCGGTCTTTCTACCCAAATCCGGCCAAAGTCGTCGGAACTCCGCCTGAGAACACCGAAATTGCCAGTGTGGAACTACACGTGGACACTTAATCCACATCAGCTCGCTCCTCTATAAATACCCCTTCCACGCGTTACTCCACATAAGCTCACACTTCACACAGAAATTTGGGGAAAAAATCGGGCAGAACATAAACCCTAAAATCGCGCAACAAAAACCTAATGCTCGCGAAGCTGCAAATCGGAGAAGAAACCTAGAGATTAAGACGACGATTTGATGACATCCTCAATATACGTGCGAAGCAGTAGGAAGCCAAACTCTTGTCCGCCTCCGTACAGTAAGATTTCTTAATTTTTCGTGCGAAGAAGTAAGATTTGAAGTTCTGTATATATTTGTTTTTTATGAAGATAGTTTTTTTAAAATTTTAGAATTAAAGTGGTGGTCCTTTTGTGTGGTTTTATGTTTGGGTTTATACAGAC